AATTAGAAATGTGAAATTTGGTCTTGTTTAATAATGTCTGTGTTTAGGATACAGTGCTGTTAAGAAATATAACACTGTATATTCATTATGAACCATATTCAAAGCGAAATTTTTATGAGCAGACTGGGAATTGTTTTATATATGTGGATTGAAAACAGTCCAGCCCTCTCGCTTCTAGAAAGGCTGAAGAATTTATCGTTTCTTGTGTCCTTTTAAAATGTGATCTGGGTCTTGCAACTTCTGTGAAGTGAGGAACTCAGAGCCACTGTCCTGAACGTCAGTCCAGTTTTGCCCCAGTGGGTATAGAACCCCCACTTGGTCCCTGTAGCCACTGAGTCACAGCTAGTCTTATTTCTTAACAGATTCCATCAAAATGGAGAAAGGAAGAGATGTTTTACTTTTGTTTATACTCAGCTGTCATTTGAGACCTTCAAAGTCGGGAAAGTCAGAACAGCGATGCACACCTGGTGCTTATTTTTGAAACTTCAGGGAATGGCAAAGTGACCAGAGGTGAAACAAACCCAAAGCTATTTTGATAATTATCAAGGACACAAAATATTTGTGAAACTGTGGTGAGATTTCAGGACGTGTATGTGTACATATAGCCTCAAGTGATTTGTGATAGGTGTTTTTATGAGCTTGTGTCTTCCCTGATTTGTAACCATCTCCTTGTCATTCTCAGCCCAGGGCACTGTGGAGGATGCTTTCCAAAAGCTGAGTCAGCACAGCGCCTCTGTGCAATTAGCCAACACCCCCAAGTCTCAGACAAGAGCAGTGGGGTTTAAACCTACACAAGATGTGTCTAACGCACAAGAGAAATGTCAGATATTCCTTTCCATGTGTGTCAGGCATTTCTGAATTATTATTCCCAGTTTTGAGTATGTGTGTATGTTTTTTAAAGGATAAGTTTTCAATAACAAAGGCAACTTAGAACCTACTCATTGCTACAGAAGTTTCAGAGTATTAAATGACTCCTGTACTAACTTTTTTGGATAGCAGTCAAGTTATATGGTATTTTAAAACATAATGGACTGAATGGTGAATAGAAGGAGACTTAAATAATAATCAGAGAACAATGGATGCCTCAGTCTGCAGCAGCCACTTGACCTAATTTGTAACTATTAGGGGAATTATAATTATTCTGGAAAAATACAGATGAAGCATAATATTCAGAGAGCAAAATAGTTTCGAGGAATATTAAACTGAGCTTATGAAAATAAAAGAAGCAAAGCGATGGAGTAGGCAGGTCAGTGTTAGATGCTCTTCAGTCGTCTAAATTGGTCAAGTACAGCAGAGGGACCACTGAGCGTGGGACACACACAGGACATCTGTTTCCTGGTGTTCGCATATAAACTGGAGTTCCCGTTGGTGTCAGGCAAGAGTGATACATGGATCATGACAGAAAGCAGCTGGATTTCAATACATAGGTGAGGCATGGTTTCCATGTCTGGTGCACTTTTGGTAGGGGTGTAGAGGGATGTTGGGAAAAGGGATTGGGGATGGGAATACAGTTAAATTTCTGTTTTAGAAGTAGGCCCATTTGTCGTTCTGTTCATTCAAAGGGCTAATGTAATCCCGAGGTTTCCTGTGTATGCTGTTCCTCAAGCAGAATTGCCTTGTGACATTTTTATTAAGGAACGTAACAACATGGATTAACAATAGCATTGTTGGGGACCAGGGGTCAGCCGTGACTTCTGGATTACGTGAATGTTGTTTCTCTACTGACATCTTGGAACCTTTTGCCTCACATTAAGTGATTGATAGGCGGGTCTGTTTTCAGCCCTCTTTGCACTCATACTTACATTCCAAGTAGGAGGGATTCCACTCAGACTAGATGACAGTAGTGTCCTGCTAGCCCCTGTGCAGTCTGCCAGTTTCTCCTCTGCTCCCGACTGGACCATATCATATAACACCTGAACTCATTTGGGATGCTTTGATAATGCTTTGGGTACCATAAAGAGGTAAAGTTAGTTAAACTAACTTCTGAAAAGGTGTATAAAGAGAGTCTGGTCGAATGACAAGTTTGCCTTCCCTGGCTTCTGGGAGCAACAGTGAGACCCTTCCAGGAAGAGTGAGCTTGAGTATTCTTTGAATAGCCCAGTAGTTGATGGGTAATTATTAAGAGTCAAGGAGAAATTCTAAGAGTCAAGCATGAAACGGGATAAGGCATTGATTTATTGTTGAGTTCACTGAGCCCCCCTGATATTGATAGGAATGCCAATAAGAACACCCCATGGAACTTTGCTATTTATTTTTTTAAATATCTTTAGTATTATATAGTTTAAATTTAAAAAAAATTCCCCATAAACCATATCTAAAGCACAGATAGGAGAGAGATTATCTGGAACATACTCTCTTAGGGGCCGATTCTCCCCACTGTTCTTCCAACTTTATCATCATTACTAGACAAATTGGCATCTCTCCCTTCAGTTTTATGGATGTTGAGAGTCAAACATGCAACATATGTTTTAATTTACCAAGTAAGATTCCTTTTCTCTTTTGGTACCAGAATTTTTGAGTCGAACACTCAGCATCTTTTGGCTGGTATGTTAATTATGCATTATTCATAATGAAAGGTTCAAATTTGTTATGCTGCAACTGTTCAGCCCTTGACAAATGACTCTGATAGGTGACACCCATTTTTAAGTAAATAAAGAAAAGCAGGAAGTGAATTTCTTCTTTAAAAAAAGAGTGTAGTACTGGGGACTGTCTTGGCAAGCTGCCATTTTTCTTTTCGAGTCTAGAAGATGCATTATGTTTCAACAAACTAATAATTTTTAAGGGAGAAAGTTGTCTTGAGGCTTTTCTAGTAGTGTCCACTTGCATTAGTTCACTGGCTTACTCACCTGGACTCTGGATTTAGTAAACTTTGCAGTCACAACCCCTGCATCATTATAAAATGTACTTGATGTGTCTTCAGGGTAAAGGGTTCTTGTATGCTGCCATTTATCCTTTTAACAAATATTTGTCGAGTACCTTTATGTGCTGGGCACTGTTCTTGGTGCTAGCAGTGAACCATCGACATAGTCAGTTGAATATGCACACAGAAGATTAAGTCACTTTGGCCAAAATGCCAGACACTCAAGGGAAATGGAGGGACAATGTTGGAAGAGTGGCAGATACTACAGAAACCCCCAAATGCTGGTGCAAAGTGGTTTTTGTTTGTTTTTTGGGCTTTGATTTCTGCATTTTATCCTTTTGCTTTTTGGACAGTGGGAAATCTGATCAGAGATGACCTTAATGAAGATTTTTTTTATGAGCAATGCATTGCTGTACCAGAGAGAGGAAAGCCTAGAAACTCATAGTTCACTTAGAATTCTAAGTTTTGTGGGTGAATGGAATTGAGACTTAAATTAAGATGAAATACGTTTCCAGAGGAAAGGATGAGACCCAGGTACATAGTAGAATAGATAAGGGAGAAGGGGAGTGGTCAAAGTTTATAGGCCTGGAACTCAAGAGACAGGAATTATATGGTGCATCTGAAAGTCAGATAAATTCTGTATTTATCTGTGAAGATAACTGGAAATATAGGGTAGAATCTTGTATGAGGCACAAGACTGGCACTTAATTATTAAGTCATCTATTTTTCTATTTCTCTGTGTGTGAGAGAGACAGAGACAGACAGAGACAGAAAGAGACAGAGAGAGACACCTGTGGAGAGAAACTATAGGCATCCATGGACTACAGTCCATGTGTGGAGGTCAGAGGACAGCTTTTGGGGATCAGCTCTTGCCTTCCACCTTGCTGAAGTAGCACCTCTCTTCTCACTGGCTCCTGAATTTCTGGGTGATTCTTCCGTCTCTACCTCTTAGCTCATCTCAGGAGTGCTGGGATTAGAGACGTGCACCTCCACACCCATCATCTAACATGGGCTCTAAATCAGGTTGTTAAGCTTGCATGGCAAGGCCTGACATTTTGGATACAGAATTCAGGGAAACAGAAGTGATGGGGCCCCTGTTGCAGAATCTATGGGAGTAGATGGGCAATAATCCCTTCTCAAACCCTTGGGAAGACGTATGCCAGTATCCAAAAGGACAGAAATGACAAAATCGGACAGGCGTGGGGTGAGAACCCGGATTATCTGTTATCACAGAAGCCAGGAGGGCCCCTTGCTCGTCTCTACTCGGACACTGTCTGCATCATCTACTACAGCACCCCGAGTCTGAGAACCTGCCAGTGAGCATATTTGTGATCTTTTCATAAAATTTATTAAAAGGAAGAATAACAACACGACAGGAACTAACAGTAGCGTTATTGAGGGCTGGGATTCAGCCCAGGCTCTCGGATTACTTGAATGTGGCTTCTTGAAATGTTGTGCTGTTTTGTCAAGTGCTATTATGAATTCTGAAAAGGGGAACTGAAAGAAGAAACCTGTCATTGAATTTGGAAGGTTACTTGAGACTCTTGACGAAGATTTTAGAATGCCAGGGAGGAAAAAGAAACAATGCAGAAAAGGATGGGACACATAGAAAAGTAAGCCATTGGCTATTATCTGACAGAGCTGAGGAACACTGAACAGTGTGTCCCCGGGGAAAACAACAAAATGAAATAAAACAACCCCGAGATCAGCCACCGCTCTCTGATGTGGAAACCACTTACATAAAGTGTGAGGGAATGGTCTTGCATTCTGAGTGAATCATGCTGGGCCTCCAGTGTGTTGTGGAATATGGGATGGATGGTGGGCGTAAGAACCCAGTGTGTGGTTCTTGTTATAGTCCTGCTGGTGTAATAACATGCCAGAATAAATTCTCAGAAAATCAAGGTACTGTAAAAGTGGCATGGGCTCCCCTGTAGCGTTAGGGAGATTGAATGTGTGATGGGAAAATAAACATGTTTGTGCCATCTGGGACGCTGGCGTCAGCTTACTTCTGTTGCTCTTTGTGTTTCAGAGTTCTCCTCTCTGAGAGCTAGCTCGTAACCTTCATGTGCATTTGAGTCGTCCAATCGCAGCTTTCTAAGAATGTCATTAACACCACAGCTTTAATTTAGGAAAATCATACCTGAAACTTGTGGTTTTCCTTTGCTGTTTTTTTTTTCTTCCAACACATTAATTTTGAATTCAGTGTGAGGCATCAAAGAAAATGTTGTGTCTCTTGTCCTCAGGAAGCTTCCAGTCCTGTGTGGAGACCGACAGTGGCTGTGTTGGTAACATAAGCACAGGTGATGTGAAGGGAACGTGAACTTGGAGACTCTAAGCTCTCCTGGGTGATCGGGTTAGCAGAGGACGCTCAGGAGCGTTTCTCAAAAGATGAGACTAGAAATGTGGTGGATTAACATTCCTTTAAAAAGTAGACTCTTTTTCTTTTGAATTGCTTTTCTATTGAATGATAAAATCAGACAGAGGAGAAAATGGGAAAGGGGAATCACATGGAAAGCCAGGAGGAGGAAAGCTAATCTTTTGTTTCCGTACTTTCTGTCTTTGCTGAAGATTTTCACAAAGCCTACTTGCTTTGTCACTTTATGTGCAAAAAAAAAGTGTTTTAGTGTTGAAACAATTCGTGTTGTATGGTGGTTACCCCCGTGCGCAGGTGAGAAGGATCGGTGCAGGGTGCGCAGAGCAGTAACAACTGCCCTGCTTCCCTTCCGGAGTCACTCTGCACTGCGGAGGCTTCCTTTTTAAACCTTGCACAACCCCACTATTTATTTATTTGTTTATTTTTTGCATGTAGGTGCAGCAACGAAACAAACCAATGTACATCACTAAATAGCACAGACGACTGCCATGGGCTTAACCAGACCAGGAATTCTTAGACCAGATGTCATAGGCAGAATACTTGGACTATTTCTCATAAGGTCCTGGAGTAGAAGAATGCTTCTTTGTTTGCGAGACCTATGAAATTTTCATCACAGTATCAGAATTTCTAAAGCTGCGTGTGTGCTTTGGAATGTTTTGCTTTAGGAATGGCTGTGTCTGATTTGTTTAATGCGCCATGGTTTTCATAGCTCTCCTTCTCTCGTTGTATTATCTCTCTCATTCAGTAATAGTCCATGAGAGATTCGCTTTTAGGAAATAAAACATCATCGTGTTCAAAACAGTCTTTTTGAAAAATAGCACAGTGGAATCAGTTTGTATATGTTGCTAACGTTTATTAGCTATTGTAATTTTATGTATTGGAAGCTGTTGAAGTGTCTTGTAGAATAGATTGGAAGATCGTCTGCATTTTTCCTGTCAAGTGCCAAACACGTGCCACTGTGCTCATGCCTGTGAGGTAGAGGGGCAATGCCATGAATTAGGATGGCAGTTTGATGGGCAAAGTGTTGACCATGCATGAGATGCTTCTGATTCCTCCCTGCCGTGTTCCTCACCAGCAGTGCGACCCTGGGCACATTGCTGAAGCTCGTCCGTCCGTTCGTCACCTGCTCTACCAGAACACTGCTACTTAGCGCAGAGTTTCTGAGAACCGAATGATGCGAACCATGTTTCACACACAATGCTTGTCATAACACAGGCTCAAAATTCAGGAAACCAGTTGCCACAATTCCGATGAGAGAGAAAAATGGCACAGTTTCACCGAGGATCCAGAGGAAGGGATAGATTAGGTAATACTCATGGTTTGGGGTGGTAAAATCTAGGTATAATTGTGAGAGAATGGGACATAATGAAAAGCTACCTGAGTGTGAGGTACATAAAGAACATAAAACAGAGGGGAACCCCGCAAAATACTTTCTACAATCCTGTGTTCACCATCTTCAGAGTCCTGTAAACATCAGAGTTGAAGCTGGGAGGTCATGGCATACACCTTTAATCCCAGCATTCAGGAGACGGAGAGGGATGGATCTCAGTGAGTTTGAGGCCAGCATGGTCTACAAAGTGAGTTCCAGGACAACCAGAGCTATAACGCAGAGAAACTCTGTCTTGAAAAATCAAAACAAAAAAACAAACCAACAAAAAACCATCACAGTTTATCCAATGATGCCTTTTGCCAAGTTCAAGGACTATTCTATTTTAAAAGCCCTATAAGCTTGGTTCAGTTAAGTGAGGAAAACAGGAGAGATTTTGGAAAACAACTGGTTTGGCGTACCTTGGGGTGACTGGGGCACTTGTTCTGGCGTAGAAGCTTAACGATTTTTCAATCGGGGATAACTCTATTCTGGAAAGGTTGCATTTTACTTATATATTTATTCATTTATTCACTTACTTGTTTTATTATGTGTGTGTGCATGCATGGGTGTGCACATGTAAGTGTAAAGGCCAGAGGTTGAGATCTGGTGCCTTTGTCATCCTCCACCTTATTTTTTGGGAGAGGGTCTCCTGCTGAACCTGGAACTGACAGATGGCTACATTTTGGTGGCCAGGGATCCTCTAGAGTACTTGAGCTTCTTGTACTGGGATTGTAGGGGCTCCCTGCTACACCCAACTTTTTATATGGGTGTTGATGACTTGAACACAAATCACTTTACCCACCCACATGGCTGCTCACAACCTTCTGTAAACCTAATTCTAGGGGATCTGATACCCTCTTCCAGCCTCTGTGGACAACCTGACATGTATGTGGTGTGCAGATATAACACCCACACACAAAATAAAATAAAAGCTAAAAAATGAGATCTTTAACTTTTCTAAGTCTCACGGCTTCTTATCTGTAAAACAGAATACCAACGCTATCTGTCGCTGAAGATCTGTGTGCACAGTGCTTGGCCCGCAGCATTTGAAATGTACATGTGAGTTGTTAATGTAGTGTTGACGCTGATGGTAACAAACACAATTCTGTGATGACAATGTGCAGAGCTGGCACAGTGCCGTTTTCCGTAATAAACTGCCCACTGGGTATTATAAACAGCCAGTACTGGCCAGAGAGATAGTGATTGCTATAGATGCCCATTTCCGTGGTATTTGTAATCTGAGTTTGAATTCCCCATCCTTGGTTCCTGTTCAGTTTGTTTCTGTATTCTCTAATCTCAGCAGATGGGGTCAACCTCTGAAAACACCATTTGCTTAAACTCACTTGAACTTTTTTCAGATTTTTAGGAACACTGGAAATGTGTGATGCAAAAAATAGCATGTCACTTTCAGAACCCTGGCAAACTCTGCTCTAAGCAAATAAAACTACATTATTATTATTATTATTATTATTATTATTATTATTATTATTATTATTACTATTACTATTACTATTCAATGAAGAGACACAGCTGCTGCCCCTGTAAGCCAGGAGCTAACTGTGGACACAGGCACTTTCCAGTTCCCCAGGCTTGAGCTGGTTGTACCCCCGAATCCCCCAGTACAGTTGTTTATGTATTTCTGTCTGCATCCTGGAGTCCCACTGGTAAGGGGACTGTGTTAACCTTTACCTTCCTCTCCTCGGTGCTTAGCATATCACTCTCCCAGAAAGTGAACTTTTATTTTGTAAAATGAGTGAGGGAACGTCTGGATCAGTTCAAAAAGATTGACCAAGTATGCTTAAGAAAGTTTTTAGTTGTGTTAAACAGTATCCTGTGTGGCCAGAGTGGCTAATAGTGAATGGGGGAGCATGTTCTTCAACACAACAATGAGAGCATTCAGCCATCCTCCTGGGAAATGCTGTCTGGACACCAAGAACTAATGAAAACACTTGAGTAGAAGAAAATCCACCTAAAAGATTGCAAGGCTTTGCTTTAGTTTGGTCTGAATCTTGGGATTATTGTGAAATTGTATTTCAGGATGAGCTATCCTGTCTAGCATGAGCCTTCCCTTGGCCTCCTGAGAAAGCACCATAGCCCACATCATCAATCTGTTGTTTCCAGGCATCTCAGCTGAAATGCTAAGATTCTTCTAGACCACAAGACTCGGTCAGCTAGCCAGTGCAAACATGCATCCCCTCCTCCTTGCTCATAGCACTTGGGTGCCATGTAGCAAGCAGAAACAAAACTCAAGTTGCATAAGCTGCCTAGGGTGCTCTGGCCCCAGCCTCGCTCTGGTCCTCAGAACAGTGGCTACGGTGGTGCTGGATGGAGACCATCTTGGGGGTCTCTTGGGATTTCCAGGACAGCCGAGAAGAGGTACTGCCTGCCATGCAGATCTGCAGTCTTGCTGGGATGCCTATGCCTCTCATTCTACCATTGCAACTTAGTCCACACTGCAACTCCTGTCTTCTGATCCTCCCAGTCCTTCTTAGGACTTGGCTCTTTTTCCTTAGAGACAACTCTCCCCTTTTTAAAAGCCCCATTAAAGCTGCACTGTTTTTGTGGGCTTAGAGCACATGATGATGATTGTTCAGAATTTGCTAGAATCTTAGTCTTCTTTGAGTGTTTAGCTTACTTATATCTATGTGTGTCAGCACACACACATGCAGTGTATGAATATGTGTGTAGGCACACATGCCTGGGCTTATGTTTATGGATGCTTCCTCTCTTTGGTGCTCCACTTTAGTTTTTGAGACAAGATCTTCCACTGAACCTGCTGCTCTCAGATCAGCTACTGGCTAACACTGAGCCTGGGGAGTCTCTTGTCCCTGACCTGGGATTACAGACGCTTTCTACCACATCTGGCTTTTCACGGGTGCTGGATCTAGATATGAGGATCTGAACTCAGGTCCTCCTATCTTCAGCCCTAGCTTACTTAGTTTTGAAATCCACACATTGTGTGCATATTTACTGGGTAACCTGAGATGTTTTGATCAATGGTGACAGTAAGTAATATTAAAATCAGGCTTCATAACCATTTCCCTCAGACATTGATCATCATGGTGGAAACATTGAACCTCCCTTTCTTCTAGCTCCTCTGAGAACTGTGGTATTGTGGGAGCCCACAGAGGTTTCCTACTGAGATCTGAGCTTGCTACCCAGCAGGGCTGCATAAGGGGATGGATTGACCACGTGTGTGGTTGCCAGGTGTTTGGTTTGCATTTGGATGCGCAGTATACTTTAATCTAGCAAGGGGAGGGCTTTTGCCCCACCCCTTGACATTCCTATAAAAAGCCCTTTTGAAGAGACAGACAGGGCCAGTGGATTTTGGTCCAGGTCCTCCCGAAGTTATCCTGTGTTTCTGTCGGTCTCTCCTCTGCTGTCTTTCTATCTACTGATTCCTTATGCCTTTCTCCTCCTCATAGGAACTCTGTAAGAGGTGGGGTGGGCCCCCACATGGTATATTACCCTTTTCTGTCATCAACCCCCCCATTGATGGAGCATGAGAACTCCTCTCTGACTAACTACTCACTAGCCAACCTTGCCCCACTTTTTCTTCCTCACTCTCCCATGTATGGTAACTATCACTCTCCTGTCAGCTTTTTTAGATCACACAGCTGACGAGAACACATAGCACTTATTATTTCTGTGTCCAGATTAATTCTTCGAGGGTAAACCCCTCACTTCTATCCGTGTTGTCACAAATGACAGGAATTCATTCTTTTTGATGACTAAGCCGCACTCTATTGTACATCTATGCTACATTTTTTCATTAATTGCACATGAGTTGATTGTAGATTTTTAATCTGATACCAGGAAGAACAGAAAAATGTAGCTTGATGTTAAATATCTTTCAAAACATGCTCTATTAGGTTTTTAAAATAAAATTTCAGAGAACCCTGCATGACTAGTATGATAGTGCAAAATCTTTGTGTCTTTAATTTCATTTAGTAAGAAAAATGCAGATTTGAGCATGTCTGATAAAATATAAATAACGATAATTTTTAAAGTTACATAAATTATATTACCCCCCCCCCCCAAGTGAGCTTGTCTGATAGAACTGCACTGTGGTGACAGGAAGAAGAATCGTAACTATTAGGAGCTACTTTTAAATAGTTCCCAACTCGCATTCTTCTTTGGAAAACAAAGCAAAATCAAGACCCCCAACACAGTATCTGAAATGAGTTGTGAGGGATGTTATCACAATGTGGGGTCCCCCTTTTAAAGACAGTTCAGGAACATTACAAGAAAGTTGACAGATGAACTCAAAAACTATAAAAGTTTAAGAGATGAATTAGCCAAGATGCAATGTGGACAGACCCTGGAAATGGTCGACATCCCAGGATCATCCAAGAAGAGAAGAGAAGACACCCACACTGCTGTGAACAGACTGCCTCCGTTCTCTTGCCCTCCAGAATCAGTCTTTGAAGGCGATGAGCAAAGAGTTGGGTACCCATTCCTCCAGCCTCTCTGAATGTGAATTGTTTTTTGTCACCTATGGCATAGCGGGTGGGGGACTGCCCCTATAGAGTTTGTGAAAGATCTCTCACGCTGCAGACTTTGCTTTTTCTCCCTGCGTGTCCTTCAGCACTTGCTCTTAGCTCAGCTTTCAACAGGATTGATTGTGACATGGTTTGAAAATGCTCCAGGGAGTTTGCCTTTGTGTCCATTTCCGTTGTAGAAGGGTTACATTCTTGCCCTTCATACAGCCGACATTGTGTATCAAGGCTGCCCATTGTTCTGGCTCTGAAGTGGTAGAGGCTGGTGTGAATCTGGGGTCTAACTCAGACCTACAGCCATTTAAATCTCCCACGATGCCTCTGGGCACAAATGATGGGTCAAGGGGGTGTTTGTGGAAAGATGCATGAGAGGTAGGGGCCATTGTGCTTTTCTTAGCATTATAGAAGTACAGGCCAGGGAAGGAATCCCCACGAACTGGTAGTTTATACCAAGTTCACTTGAGCAACTGCTTGGCTGTGTGTGTGGTGTGTTTACACACTCAGCAATCTCTCATCCTCTACTACTCATTTCTTCTAAGATTTAGTTTCCTTGAAACTGCCTTGAAGTCAGAGCTCTGCCTGCCTGCCTGTGCCTTGAGTGCTGGGATGGAAAGCTTATGCTGACAGTTTTACCGTTCATGAATGTTTCTCTGTATGTGACTTTAATGCTTCCTATCTAATTTTCATTTAACTCGTGAACATTTATTGTGTGGGGAACACAATTAATTTATCTAGTGACCTATCTGCTCTAGACCCAGCAATCACTACAGGCCCTTACACCTTGCTTATTAACATAACTGACATTCTTAATGGGAATGATATGAAAAGATGTCTCTATCACTATCTCATGGCTTTGCTAAACATCAGGGTTAGGCATATAATAAGCACTCAATAAATGTTAAATTGACTAATGAATAAATAAAAAGACAAAGTGTGCTATGCTATGAACACACTTGTTTTCCCACAATACTAGAGTTTGTTGAATGACAATAAGTCACAAGGTACAGACATTTAGATGACAGCACTTTGCCAAGTAGTCTGTCTTTCCTTGATAGTCAAGGCAAATACAGCATCTTTTGTTCCAATCTTAAATACTAATATTAATGCACGGATCACACTTTATACATCACATAAGTGTATCTATATATGTGGGGGGCGGGGAGTATCTCTATGTGTGTTACAGGATGGCTAGAAAGGGTTAAGAAGGCCACAGTGGAGTTCAAGAAGTTTCAAAGAGGAAAGAGAGGTAGAAGCTAAGGAAATTGATAGGGATGCAGGAATCTTTGTAGGAACACAGCAATGATCCCAAGATGGTAGTATGCTGGAGACACTGCTGGCTGCCACCACCACTTCCACTATAGAGTCAGGCTGTGGGGTCAGAGTTCAGCAAAGATGCCAGGTACAGTGGGGGCTGGAAAGCAAAGGGCAGGGGACCAGGTCCAGGTGAACAAATGACCCCACAGATTGTAGTGGTAAGTTTCTCTGGTCCTGCCTGGGAAAGAACAAAGGAAAGTAGGGAGAGATGTCTTGCCCTCGCCCAAGGAGCAGCAAGATACCAGCAGACCAGTAATGCCATGGCCACGTGGCAAAACATAGATTAATAGAAATGGGTTAATTTAAGATGAAAGAGCTTGCTAGCAAGAAGCCTGCCATAGGCCATACAGTTTGTAAATAATATTAAGCCTCTGAATGATTATTTTTCTAAGCGGCTGCAGGACTTTGGGGGCTGGACGGGACTGGAGAAACTTACCACTACAATAGATGACAATCCGAGTTACTTATGCCAGTCCTGAGGACCAGCCAAGCTGATGCTCGGGATAGTTGGGACTCGTCAGCCAGTCCTATTCCTTGACCTGCACACTTGGTGGTCAGATGACAGGTTAGTGGGTCTGTCACCATAGCAGTGTTAGGTGTCTTCCTCTGTTGTGGCCAGGTGAAGGAGGGATGCCCTTTTGTCAATCTGGTGGGGCTGGGTTCTCAGGCTTGGTTTTCCTGTTATAGTTTTAATATGTCCAAGTGCTGGAACAGTCTCAGTTTACTGATGAATTTACAAGGTGTCATCCTTCCTTCTTTTAGCAATAAGGTTTTTTTTTTTTTTTAATGGTCGGTGCCTTGTGTGTGTGGGGGAGGTTCTAGACACATGATGGTGTCCACATGTCCACCAAGGTGCAGCAGCATCTTCTATGTCCTAAGTGGAGTGGTAAAATGGAATCTCTCGGGAGTAGGCAGCCTGAAAAGTCACTGTTACACCATATGGAGTAACTTAGGGCAGGACACAGCCTGGTCTCAACAATAGGTTACAACGGTTAATAAAAATTGACAATGCAGTAAGAAAGCACGTTCTATTTCTCCTATGGACAGTTAGACTTGTATTATGAAGTACAAAACAGACACTGTTTACATAGTTTCAAACACCTGAAAAATCAAATCCATGTGACCCTTGGCAATTCTGATAGATGTTTAGAGTATAGATGTGTTTATTATGAATGCTTAAATATTTAAGTTTTACATTGTCAGTCAAAACACAATGTTTTGGCAGTTGTCTGGGCTTCAAGTGGACATGTAAGCAGCGCTTTGTTTCACTGACTAAGTCTGAATGGATTATGTGGAGGGTAAAAATATACATAGAAAATGAAATATACATTCAAATTCTTCATGTGTTTTTGTTATCTGTTTTACTTCCCTTTTTTCCTTTAGACTTACATCTTATTAATGTTAATGAAAATCTTGATGGGGACTATAACCTAAAAGTATGTGCTCTTCCATAACTGTAGAGATCTAGCAACTGAAAACTGAATTTTATTTTTTTCTCTTACATATTGTATCATTCTGTTTTAGATTACATAATACTAATCTTACTTTTTCCTTCAAACATCATTCTGACCATATCTTGACTATAATCCCAAATTTATGAAATCATTTTAATTTCTTTTGTTTGTTTGCAGGTATACCTGACTCTAAAATGTTTCCCATTTTAAATTATATCCAGACCACCAACTTAGTATGCATTTTATTCTAATCACTTGGAAAGGGTGTCAGTAGAAAAATTACATTGTAAAGTAATGAGACTAGCAGTGATAACTCTGTTCTAGGCATCTGGGGCCTTCACAGTAGATACAGAAGGTGGTGAGGGAAAAGCCAGTGGATTGTGATTGGCTTCTGTGCTGTGGAGGTCCTGTCCTGAAGCTGTGGGATGCTATTGACATCTAAACTGAACTTTGACTACTAAAAAGGTCCATCTCTGTCACTAAGACCCTCAGTCAACCATCATCATGACATTATGTTTTCTGTGTCGTGTGTTTCTTTGTCATGGATACATGTGTGCAGAAGCTCATGAGACGTTACCATCTTAGCAAGTTGCTTCAAGGAATAATTATGTGTAACAACATATGAGTGCACTTCGGGAGTTCCTTTACATCTTTTGTTTTTGTTTCTATTTATTAAGCACTATTTTCAGTTGTAGCTGTGTGGTGGGACTAACGTTGAAAAACTGGTAGATCCAAAAGTGAACAGCAAAATAATAGACTCTTGAAGATGTAATCTATGAGAAGACACTGAAGAATGCAGTGTTCCCAGCCTCTAGGGACGGCAACCAGGAAAGTGGCGATAGCATCTTAACCTCTATAAGTTACTGCTAGAAGGAGCAGGGGCACATCGATCATCTGTGGACCACACAAACAGAAAATGTGGCAATGTTCTGAAGGAAGCATTTTGTTGCAGTTCAGTGCTCATCCCTCTCTCTCTCTGGCAATCAGCAGTGAAATGCAGTATTATGAAGTAGGGATCCAAGGGGGGCACTTATTAAAGAAGATCTGCTGAACTAAGCGTTGTTCTTTTGAGTAAATACACACCAAGTGGAGCAGCCCGCTCAGAAGATGAACTTACATTCCTTCCTATGGTTCTAATGTTGCACTGTTCCTTTGGTACCCAGCATGGAGCTTATGCCTGGTCTTTCCAAATCCAACAGAGATTTCAAGGGAGGAAGTGCCCTAGAAATGACAGAGAGGAGTTAGATAGTATTAAAGGAGCTTATGTCTTCCAAGGACAAAGTCTTAGTAGGTCAATCTGTTTCTCCTCCCTCTCCAGCCTCTGTATGTCCTGCCCCCCCCCTCTGTCTTGTCTCTTTCTCCTCTCCTCTCCGCTCTTCTCTCCTCTTCTCTCCTCTCCCTCTACCCTGTCTGTTGTCAGAGAAAACTTCCAGCTGATAAAGCATGTTTGCAGGTACCAACCTAGAACACAGGAGGAGTGGAGAATAAGCCCTTAAATCTCACCCTGTGTTACTGCCTTAGGGCAGCTGGTGGAGGGGGTAGTACTGAGGCGGCTGAAGTTTTATGTAGGCCCCCTATGGAGTTATGCAACTGATGGAGCACATCTGGCCACGGAATAGCTTGGCAGCTGCAGTGCTGATTGCAACATCAAGTATTGAGAAATAAGACATCTTGGTGAGGTTGGGGATGTGCAGTGGTCATGGTGTTTGTCATTTCAGAGCCTTCAAAGGTTTTAGGAAGAAGGGGAAAAAAAGCATGTAGAAGGCACTGCAAGCTGAGAATGTGAGTGAATCTGTGGTACAGACCTCAGAAAGGACAGCCATGGGGAAATCACTACCAGTCAGTAGACTTGAGAGACCCATATCCATCCTGTAATGGCAGAAAGCATGAAGTTCCATCTTCTGGGATCTCGGGATCTCTGGGATCTGTCTGGGCTATCTTCCATTCATGGAAGAAAGCCTTAGTGATAAGAACAACTTAAAATACCAGCTTAAAAAGACAGAAGGGCTACTCCGGACTCACCCTGTGGGAAAGATGGAAGCTGGGGCCACATGTGAGAAGTAGAGCTGTAAATCCTAGTCCAGCTTGAAGGAATGGCAGTTAGCGTGAGGTAGCATCTTCCATCTGGTGACTTAAAGCTTCAGAATTACTGAGTTAACTGCATGCTGGCACACATACCAGGACTAGAAATCTCAGCGCTTCTAGCAGCAAGATGGGTGAGTGTACACGTTTTACACAACGATTAGGTAATGTGTTTTCGGTCCTCACAAAACGGGTCTCTGACTCCGTGTAACTCAGCTGTCACCTGTCTGATTCTCCATCCAGAGGAATCAGACCATAGAATAGAAAACTAAAGCCCTGCGTGCCCAGAGATGTTACTATATTGTTAACCATAGTCAAATGTGTGGTCAACAAAGGTATTCAAGGGTAAAATCTATGAGGATTGTATAATTCACTCCAAGAAGAAATATCTTAATACTTAACTAAATGTGGTTGAGGATAGTAACTAAGTAAGAGTAAAGGGAATAAGTGATGAGTAATGAAGATGCTGACGGTGTGAGAAGGTAGAGGATTACAATGTTACACATGTAAAACAGCCATATCAAATACCCACGTGGTTGTGAAAATATGCCCATGTCAATAATACCCATGTTGGGGGAGTGAAGCATTCATATATAATTACTTATTTTACTTTCCAAATTTTTCTATGATATAGCTACCTTGTTTTTCTTTAAGTATGTACTTTTTAATGTTTATCTATTTAAGGTTAAGTTGCATAGGCCTATTTCTTAGGTAAATAAATGAAAATGTATTTTCAAATCTTTAGAAGCCAGACAATCTCCATACCTCCCAGCCAGCTCACTCCCAAGTGTCTTGTTTGTCTCCCAGAAAGGAAGGTCGGTAGCTACACCCAGCTCGTTTCACGGAGCTCAGAATGTCCTTCTTGGGATTGCAGTGAGTGCTCTGCTTCCCCACTTCCTCCGTTTTCCTCGCCACGGATGTCCCATGCATGCTCTGACAGTCATCTTTGGACTTCAGCAGGCTCAGCTCCTGGGACGTCCTTAATTAAGTCCCAGATGCTCTGACTTGAATAAATAATCTAAAGTTGGCACGAAAGACAACCAAGTTTTACAAGTAATTAAGTACTGTTCACTTTAAATAGTCTTTTTAGACATTTGTCACTTTCCTGGTGAATATAAAAACATTGAAATTTTAACATCTAAGTATTCTCAGAGCAGTTAAAGTGTCAAGGGAAGGGATTACTCTTTCTTAGGCAGTTAGCCACAGCCCCTGCTTCTCATAGATAATCTCACTGGGCACTGTCAACGGTTTCCTCTACTGGGAGCCAGTTAGGTCAAAATACAACCTGTTTCTTGGTTTACTCATCATCTGCGCCCTGTGCCTGTGTAAGATCAGTTAGGAAGGCCGGGTGGCCCGTTTCTCTAGATGAGCGAGCTGAGGTTTGGGCAAGTCCCGTTTAGAGGGAGTCTCAGAGCTGATGGAGCTGGGATTGGAGTATACCTCTGTGGGTGCCGACTCCTGAACTTCATGGAGCTCATGCTAAGGCTTTTGCTTTGTTTTCACCTTCAGCCGGTGCATAGGAGTGTATCTGATTCACCGCAGTAGGGTTGGAAGTGAACTTGTTCCTGACAGTTTGACCACTTTTAAAATCCTGGGTTTGTTTTCACCCCCCTCGCCCCCCGTCCCCCGACCTTTTAGTGCGCCTGTCACCCATGATGAATCTGTTGCGAGTGCTGCTCCCCTAGACTAAATATCCTGCTTGCTCATTACCGGCGCTTCATTGTCACATTTATCTTTTCTTTTAGACACAACGATCCAAATGCGCTCTTGAGTTCGGGAGGCCTTTAATATGTCATCAGGCTCTGGGAAAGGGCAAGGGCAGGTGTCCACCTGTGAAAAAGCAATAATGGGGGGATTAGTTTCCCAAATCCAGCATGGGGCTTGCCGAGCTGGCCTGCCTCCAAGCTACTGAAGTCCTCCACAGCTGGCCTTGGGGAGCCACCGAAAGCAGCGGGACATGCCCCCGTAGGCTTCTGGGTGTTGAGTAGGAGAGTGGGACATGAACTTGGAAGCACAGTTTTTGGGTTTGGCATTCCTTTCGTACGTCCAGCGAAAGCATATTCAATATCGGCGCCTCTACCCCCAGTGCCTTTGGTTTTCAAATTGGCCGCTCCTCTCAGTTTTCCGAGATGCACTTTCTGGTGAGCTGAACTGGGGGAAAGTTTTCACCTCTCTAATCCTCTTTCTTCCATCTCTTCCTCCTATTCCCCTTTGCTTCTTTCCCTTCTTAAATCATTACCATAATCTTGGCTTCAAAACCATCAGCATCCGCCAAAGGCGGTCTCACAGGGGCGAGATCACTTTCATGTGTGGCCTAAACACAGCGCACAAACTACTCCCTGGAAAAGAAAACAAAAACTTTGCCCTAGAACATGAAGAAGGATACATTCTCCTGCAAAGAAACTAAAAACTATTCTACTGTGCTTCCCCATGTCCTAAGTGGCCGTCAGTGAAACCAAATAGAAGTTCCTGTCTGGCAAGGGAACTGTCCACTGAGGGCAAGGAACCTCTGCTGTGTTCTAATTTTAGAACGCAGTAAAGAGAAGAATATTTTCCCCATTTTTTCCCTCTAGAACTCAAAGATTTGTACTATGTTTGAATTGGAAGATTCCCAATTCAAGCTTAGGTATGGGTGACTGGGTGGGGACAATGGCCTTTCCTCTCATTGACTGCATGTACTCAAAAGATGTGGACATCTGAAAAATACACATTCTGAAGAAGGTTACTATAGTGAGTCAGGTGAAAAAGCCTTTTCTGTTTATTTTGGGTTTTGCTTTTGTTTTTTTGACAAGGTCATGCTATGTAGCCCAACCTATCATGGAACTCCCTTTGTAGACCAGACTGGCCTCAAATACATAGAGATCCACCTACTTCTTTCTGCCTCCTGGGTGCTGGGATGAAAGGCACACAGAACCACACCTGGGCCCCCAAGACCTCTTTTAACATTGGTGGTTTTGTGCTCATAGCGCGGTCTCATGCAACCTTGTACCTTATTCTACAGGCAAGTGGTCGGTGCAAGAGAAGCTCTGAGATGCCCAGAGCCCTGTTGGGATTGGTAATTCAGTGTCACTGCGTTTCTGTGTGAAAGGCCACACCTGTGTGCAGGGACATTCTAAGAAGAAATCACAAACACTGTGGAGGAATAAAGTACCTTTGCCGGAAAACATGGAAGTGGCACAACGGAATTGGATTTGTTTTAAACTCATAGATACAGGTTCACGAACTATCAGTGTGCTCTCATTTTCCCTGACTCTAGGGCTCAGAGGTAAATCCTGTGGGCTCCTTGTCCTCAATGTGTGAGAGCGGTAGATGGAGACAGACTTGCACCGGTAGATCATCAATGTCATACTTCAGACAGGCCGAGGATTGGGAGTTTAAGAGATGCTCTGATGGGCTAAATACTCCTTTTAGGGCTTGTCTTGTGTAGAGGTCCAGCAGTCTCCAGGCAAGTGGCAAGGGTGGTCAATGTACGAGGAGGAGTGGAGCGACTAGGTGATGGTGTGTTCTCAAACTACCTAACAACCAGTGCGTTAATGTTGACTTGGTGACAGCTGAGTTTGGTACTCATTTGCTCCATTTACAAATGAGTGTTCAGGGGCCGGGGAGACTGTTCAGTCAGTAAAGTGCCTGCTGTGTGGGCAGGAGGACTAGAACCTGTTAAAAAGAGCTTCATGTGGGGGCGTGCTCCTGCAATGCCAGAGCTGGAAAGCAGAGACAGGTAGGATTGGTAGCACTCAATGGCCTAGTCTAACCTAGTCGGTGAACTCCAGGCAGGTGAGAGACCTTGCCTCTAAAAACAAGTGGGTGCCTCTTGAGAAGTGACATTAAGGTTGACCTTTGGCTTCCATGCTTACATGTATACATGTGCATGTGTACCCGTACACATGTTCATATGCTCATACACCACACACACACACACAGAGAGAGAGAGAGAGAGAGAGAGAGAAAGAGAGAGAGAGAGAGAGAGAGAGAGAGATATTGAGAGATTGAGAGATCCAGGGAGATCCAGACATTTCTATCACTATAATTCTAGGTTGCTGTTTATTTTAACTTCACTGAATATGTTTCTGCAGCTGTCACTGAGCCTAACTTCAGGGATGTGTGCGTCACCCTAGGGCAGGTGGAACATGTAAAGAAGACTTTGATAGGATTCTGCTCAGCTCCAGGCTCTGGATTTACATGACGGACAGCACATGTGGGCGGGTTCAACACTGCTGCCGACATTACAAAGGGTTGTTATATACTGCTTTTAACCTGACCAAATTGCATTTCATTGGTTGCTACTATGAAATAATAATAATAAAAAAATCCTGCTGTGGATATCGCTGGAAAACTTTAGCTACAAAATCCTGCCAAACAGTGACCCCTAATCAGTCATCTTAAAGAACACCTTGTCAATCATAGTTTGACACTTACTCCCAGTGACCAAACTGAGGAATCTTCAAATGAAAACAGAAGTTGTTTAATAGTTATCTGGACATGGTTTCTTCTAAGTTAGTATCCAGTTTTTGGTGACTTTACCTAATAGAAGGGATGAAATAGAATTAATGGAGTTCAATCGTTAAACAGACACATGTTGATAAAGCATGTAAAGGACATTGTCAACCATTTAGTATTATTTGGGTTTAGTGCAGCAGTATTTCATAGCCCTATACACACAACAAAATGCACGTAGAAGACAGTTGTTTCCATTGTTCTAGGTCATGAAGTTGCCCCATCCAGTTATGACATGACTAAAGGCTGGCTGTTGCTCATCACTACTTGTGATACAACTGAAGACAAGCATCCCTGCTTCCTCATGGCCTCCCATTTCTCCACGAGGGAGCAGGGTGTGTAGCAAGATCAAACAACTAGGCTTCGTGGTTGCATGTGCCCAGGGGGAATGACTGGGCTCCAGAGGGATTTGTGTGCCTGCAATCAGAGCCTGAGCACTTCCCCTCCTCAATCCCATTGGAATTTCTCAGCTGCAGCCATCAGTCCAAGGGGTTAGCTGAGCCCACGTGAAGCACAGCAGATTGCTTCTGCTCATAACCACCCCCTACTTCCGGCTACGGTTCTGAAAAGCCAGTGGAATTGTGGGCCCTGGCTGACTTCGTGACCACTGTTCCCTGCTGCCCCGCTTCTACCCGCTCCTTCCTCGGGCACCAGCGACTGTTGTTTATGCCTGTAGAAGGAAACGCCTGCCCGTTTGCCGGTAAATCGGCAAACGTAACTGGCGTTCGTGTGGGTTACTACTCTCAAAAACCACACTTGCGTCTACCACTCTAGACACACGGCAAGTGTGGTTGTTTAGTCAGTCCTTTGTGTCTCAAAGGCTCGTGGTGCTTGAAGGTAGCAACGTTCTGGACAGTCCTTCCATGTTGCAGATAGCAGGTATAATCTGTCAAACTTAACAGCAGCAAGGTATACAGAGTCTGGTTTTCTAGCCAGGATTCTGCTGTTTCCTCATTTCAAAGATGGCTGAAATCAATATTCCTGGTGGCAGTTCTGAATCAAGGTGCCATGTGTCAGTGGAAATACCTGAAAAGATTAAAACTAGTCAATAGGAAGACACATGTAATCTCAGTAGATTTGGTCTGCTTTAAGATTTGCTGTGACACACTGACTGCTCAGTGAGCAGAAACTTATAACTGTATTCATGAACCCGGCCTCCAGTTGCTCTATATGCCAAATACAAAAAAAATAGTGTTCTCTAACGGCCGCTGCATCTCATCTTACAAAGAGCGACATCCTCTGCAGGGGATTTAATCGGTATTAACATGCCAGCGTTCTCTTACTGCTTCCAAGGCTGACACCTGATGCCTGCGCCGATAACAGGGGAGTTTCCTTGTACTGGGCGGTGTGTGCAAGCAGTACCAGCATTTTCTTTTATTCTACAGGGCTCCAATTTGGGGACTGCCTGCTGCCCTTTGACTAGGCCTATTTGCCCCCCATGTCCATCTAAACACACCAGCTGGGTTCGCCTTGTCAAATATTCCCTCCAGTCCCTTTCTTTTGTCCCCACCTTCCTTTATCACCATGGGCCTTGGCTTCTGTGGGAGACTCACAGCTGACCCTCCTGCCCTGTTAGTTTTCCCAGCACATGGCTTTCTTGAGATCCTCATCTGGCCAGGCGATATTTAGTTCCTTCCTGTTACCTCCCGGAGAATTTCCTAGTATCTTCAGGTACCTGTGCCGATGGTCCTCATCCAGCCCTATTCCAGCTGTGGGTCCTCAGTCGGTGATGACGCGGTCAGCTGTAGTGCTCGGGGCTAGGTGTGTTTGCTGCTGCCTCCCTCCATGCTGTCTCGTCCCTTTACATACTGCTTCTGAGTCAAGGGAAGGGGTCTCCTCCCGGATGGGCTGCTTCTCCTCTGTTCTGTGGGTGACTGTTGTATGACCATTGCCGTTTGCAGCATGATACTGTTAGGTAGAAGCTAACGTTATTCTTTTGGTCCTCCCAGGAAGAAACCACAC